ATTCTTGGTCTTGTTGATTTTTTAGGTTTTGAAATTGTAGCGCATGCTTCTGTTGTAGCTCTGAAGATTGCAGCTGATTTGATAATGGTTGCGTTATTTCTTGGTTATTCGATTGTTTACTCGTCATTTTTTTAATAATTGGAATAAAATATATAAAAGGAAAAAATTAAAATTCCAAATTCCGAATTTCAAATTCTCAATTCAATTGATAAAGGAAGAAAGAAAATATAATTAATCAAAAACGAAGATTCAGTTAAAGAAAACTAATCAATCAAAAACGAAGATTCAGTTAAAGAAAATTAAACAAAAAAAGGCAAGATACGCCCATTTAAATACTCTCGACTTGCATGCGATTCATGCAATAAAGGACGCCAAGCCTGTGTGATGAAAGAAGGAGCTGCTTTTTGCAATAGGTGCATTGATAAAAAAAGCAAATGCACTTTTGATAGAACTATCAAAAAAAGAGGCCGCAAACCAAAAGTAAAACATCTTTTTTTTTCAAAAATTTTTCTTTGTTTCGAGTATTGATTTATTTTCTTTGATTAATAGGAAAATTCTGATAACAGAAATGGCCACCAATGTTGTTATAGTGGTAGCGAACCTTTGGCTAATGGCCGTGACTTGCACGAGGGTTCCGAATGCTTTTTGAGTTCAGGTATGTTTAATTCATTATTATTATGATAATATTTGATAGAAGTATTAGCAATAGTAATAGAAATAAAAATAATAATAAAAATAATAACAAATATTAATAATATATAATAATACGTACATAGTTACGTAAATATTAAACTCAATATATTAATATATTAATTTTATATGCATTTTTCTTAATAAAAAAATATAGAAAGCAATTCTTTGGAACAAGCACTGTTTTGAGGGTTATGATGTAAATTTATTATTGGTAGCAGAAGAGGAACAACGGTTGTTTAAATTTTTTGTAATATAAAAAAATTTTACAAAATAAATGATAAATTAGTTAAAACAAATTTTCTATTCTTTTTCGTTTGCTTTTTATTAATTTTTTTTCTAAATGAATTTTTTTAAATGGGTGAATAAAAAAGGAAAAAGTAATACATATATATATAATTGATAAATAAATGGAATTATTATTATTGTGCTTGTTATTTATTATTGTACAAGTTACAATTCGAACAAAGGTCATCATTTGAACCAATGAAATGTAAAATACTACTATATTACTAGAATAGTGATGAAGTCTCTATGTTCTTTTTTTTTGGGATAAATCAAAATCTAAATTTCACAAGAATGCTTCTAAACGAATGAAATTGTTTCTAAGACCAATCCGGTCAATCAAATAATAATGATACATGGAAAATTTCATATATATGAAAAAAAAAATCAACGATTATAATAAAAATATTGGATCTTCACCATCATTTCTAATGGATGCTTTTGATTACAAAAAGTTCCTTCTAATAACAATCAGCCATCTTATATTTTAAAGTTAGCCATACACCTGCAGATTGTTAAGTGCTTATCGCGATTTTATATAGATTGACCGGCTCAAGTTTACATAGTTAGAATTTTCCAATAGCGCAAAAAAAAAAGGGATTCGAGTTGCCTAATTTGTTATCTCTCTGTGAGTGGCTTGACAAATGAAATAAAGAATTCTTGTGTTGTTTTGACACTTGGAATAAATTTGATGAATTGCTTGAAAAAAAAAAAAACAAGATTCGAAAATCATGCAGAATAACTTGAACCGGTGTTAGCGAAAGAGATGGGGAAAAAAAAGAGCAAGGACAAATTGTTGATGGAAAAGCTATATATTCATAAAATTTATATCGAAAGCAATAATTGAGTTAACATGAAGCAGTCAAAAAAAAATTTTGATTAGATGGATATCCAATGATCACTATTAAAAATTCTAATCCACAAAATTATTTGTGATTCAAAAAAAGTTACTGGCCCAAAAAATTATTTTGCAATAATTTAATAATAATATCTACCTTTTGTCCAACTTTTATTATTATTATTATTATTATTATTATACTTTTATTAAAAATTAGAACAATATCCCCAACAGTAAATAACATCTTTTACTAAAGATCATGTTTTTAGCAAATAATAAAACCAAAATATTTTTTTTGATCCAATAAAAATTCCCAAACCGGGCATAATGAGAAGTTTTTTATCTCTAAAAAATATATTAATATAATTAAATTCATTTTTATTTAATATAAATGTTTTGATGATTGTTAATATATGACTTATACATACATAATAAAACATACAATTAATTAAGAATTAATATTATAAGTGAAGTTAATGAAACTCGAAAAAAAAAAAAGGTTAAAAGGTGGGAAAAAGCCATTTAATTGGAAAAAAAAATTGTCTATTAAATTTTTTTTTAATATATAAATTCTATTAGTTTAAAAAAAAAAAGTTTGTTATTGTTATTTTTATTGTTATTATCATTATCATTATTATTATGCTGGTTGTTTTTGAACCAAGAGTTTGCCCATGAAATCACAAGTTACTCCATCATAAAGTATAGTGAGCCAATTTGGACCAGGAGGTAAAATTGTTCCATCTGAAGGCATGTCTACTGTAAGGGCATATGTAGTAGAGGTTGCATCAGCTGGTGGTGTAACGCTAGATATTACAACTTCGACATATCTTTGTGACATGTGTTGTGAATGAGTGATAAAGCCGAAATTCATCAAGGCACCCTTGAGTAATGTTTTATCGAAAGCGGTTGCAGTTAAAGTTATTGTAACATCCACGATTTGTTTGTAATAAACCAAATGTTTTACGGTGTTAATTGGATTACCACCAATGTTTACTATTGTGGGTCTTGGTTTCTGAGTTTGAAGTTCTGGTGGTGTGAATAATTCAATACGATATCTATTGTTTTAAATATTGGTTATCATAAAAATATTCGTGCGTTTAGTTAGTTAGTTATATATATATATATATATATCATAAAATATATAGATGTATAAAATGTATAAAATAATACAAACTCTGTGGGGTATTTAGTTCCAAGGGTTTGACTTCCTTGTGGATTGCTACCACTAACCAACACCTGACCATTTGGTATCATAGTTGCAGTTGAGTGATACATTCTAGGAATTGTCGATGCTGCAAGTGTTCTGTATGTTTTTGCGTCGACATTGTAAAGTACTGGGGTGAAAACAGGATCTTCATGGACATAGATTGGATTATCTTTTGGACCTTTACGATATCCAGCGTATCCTAAATTGGCTCCATTAATATATAATATATCACTACTGGGTAAAATTACAGCATCAGGCATAACTCTTCCTATGCCACCAAAATCATCCATTTCCCATACTGGTTCTGCGTCATTCAATTTTATTCTACCGCACGTTGCTTCGGTAGGAGCATTTGGCTTCAGTTCAGTTCCACCACCACAAATCATAATTTCTGGTGCGAAAAGTGTAGCTACTTTCAATGGCAACATGACAGATGTAGCAGTCAATGGATATATACGTGGAGAAACGCCGGTAATGTCAGGTAAAGCTTTTACAACAACAGCGTTATCCAAATCGTAAATTATGCTTTTTTTGTTGGCAAATATGAAAATAATACTTTTGCCCTCTGCATTAGGTACTATATGCATCATTGGGTAGAGATTATATATCAATCTGAATAAACGAAGATAAATATTAAATACCAATCAATCGGTAGCAAAAAAAAAAATTTTTTTTAATAAAAGTAATGTTGTTGTTGTTACTTACGTGTCAGTCAAAAATTGGAATGGAACTGGAACTGCCTTTCCACCATCAGCAGTTGGATAAAATTCATAATTTGGTACATTAATCTCAGCTCTATTGACGCCCGTTGCTTTGGTTGAACCGCCCATTATCAATACTCTTCCATCTGGCATTCTAAAATTTTAAAATTAAAATCGTTATAATAAATTCGATGGATTTTGCAATATTTTATTTCTACTCACGTGAGCATAGTTGGATACCATCGAAGAGAACTCATCGCGCCGATATTTTCATAAACCGTACCATAATCTGGTTCGTAGGTTCTAATGGTGTTACCACCCTCTACATAAGGAACCTATAAATAGTTCGTTATTAAAAATCAATAAAAATTAATATCATGCATAAAATAAAAAATAAAAAATGTATTTAAATATAAAAAAACTTACAGCAGGTTCTCCACCACCACCTGATATCATTGATCCGTTAGCAAGGAATGCACCGGCAGAGCAAAATGTATCAGTGACAGTTTCAAGTGCGGTAAGTTCTCCTGTCTTCCAGTTAAATTGTGCAAAAATAGCGGAAGTTCCATCTGCTTTTTTTAATGGATTTTGTTCCACTATTTGTAATAAAGAAATAAATAAATATATATATTAATAAACAGAAACAAATTTAATTTAATTAAATTACACTATAAAAATAATTATATTTCTTTACCTTTATCAATGAAAACTACATAATAAGGGCTGACAACCACCGTGTGCATAGTATTAACGCCGGACCTATTGATGACGATCGTCCAAATTAGTTCGCAAACAAAAAAATTATACACATAATGTGATTAATATGCATATGCACTACTACTCACTCTCCAATGATCTCAAATTTTCCTATTGGGGCGTCTGGTGCTGGTGCTGGTGCTGGCGGTGGATCTAACGAGATGAAATGTTAAAATTAATCAGTAAACCATCAAATATCGACGAATTATTTTTGAGAGATAAATTTACTTTGTGGTAACGCCAAGGCTCTAGGAATTGCCGTGGTTAATAAGCATATTATTAGCAATAAATTCTTCATGTTATTGATTTTGAATTTCATTGTCAAATTTTAGTTTTTATTTTTATTTTATTTTTTTATTTTATTTTTTATTATTATTATTGTCAAAAAACGAATTTCAATTGGAAATTTTTTAAAAAAAATTCGTAATTCAAATCACAAATTTAAAACTCTTTGATATTTATATTAATATCGACAATGTTTCAATTCAATAAATCATTCTATTATTACAGTTCTCTTTTTTTAGATTTTAAAGTTAATTAAAGCAATCATGCTGCACAACGATACATAAAGAGGCATTTTTTATAATTCGGGTTATTTAAATTTACACAAACTTATATTTAAATTCACAAATTAAATTGGTTAAATTTGACAAATTCCATTTTTAAATTCATTTTTTAAATGGTAATCTTGGCGTTCAATTATTTCTTGAAAAAAATATTTCAAAACAAATAAACTGTTATTTAATTGCCTTTAATATTACTCCCATGCGAGTGAATTTATTCGCGCAATATAAACATAAAAGTTATTTTATTCGTTAATATAAAAAAAATTTCTTTATGGAATTTCCTCCTTTATTATCCCCTTTATTTGTTTTTGTTTCATCAATTTAATTTTAGAATATGGTGTGACTCTTATCATTTTCATTTTCATTTTCATTTTCATTTTCATTTTCAAATTTATTTTTGTTGCCAAATTTATTCCTATGATAGTGACAGGAAATTTAAGAGATCTTTAGCATCGTTATTATTATTTATTGTTCCTTAAAATAGAACTTGGAGGATCAAGGTGAATTTAATTTTAGAGTAAAAAAAGTTTTATATTTAAAAAAATCTATTTATAATTAAAAAATTATTATTTTTTTGTTTTTCAAAAAATTTCGATCATTTACTGAATTTGCTAACATCATGCCACCTACCATTTTAGAAACTTTAAGATACAAACAATAAACAATAATTAAATTAGTGTTATACAACGAATTGGGTTGGGTCTCACGTGCAACGCGATTTAATTGAACTAATGCATATTCAAAAGGGAAAATAAAACCTTATATGAGATAGAGTTAGGGCAAGTTTATTATTACGTGAAATATAATTGGTGTAAAAACATTAGCTTTTTGGGATA